AAATTGCATATTGAGGACATGACTTGTCATATGCTACTTAGACTTGAATTCTAGGACATGAATTGTGTGGATTCAACCTTATTTGTGCATGGAATGTGGTAACTTGCATTTGATTTTGTATAAGTTTTGAACTTGTTGATTTTGGAAAGCTTGTGAGGACATAAACTATGTGATGGCTAGGGTTTGGCTCTAGTACGGAGACGAGAGTCTTCTAAGTCATAAGTGCGCACTAGGTAGTACCTTGTGGGCTGTAATTACCCAAAAATACTTGCTTGGTATAGCGACCGCATGTCCTACTCTTTCCACTATTTGATTTCGCATTTAATTTCAAGTTGTTAATCATGAATTACTTGTACCTTGAGAATTAATGCTTACTTGGATATTTGAATCCTATTCAGTATACTTGAACTTGTATACTTGCTCCACGAGTTTAAATTGCATTTAGTATACTTGTGCTATGTATACTTGTCATATGTGCAATCCTATTAGCTTAGTATACTTGTGTCAGTATACCTGATTTATGAGATTTTCATATAAAATGCATACTTGTGTAAATATGCTTAGACATTGTATGACTTGTCTTAATATGGTTTAGTATACTTGGAAATGTATGCTTGTACATTGTATAACATGTTTTAACATTGCTTAGTATACTTGAGCATGTATACTTGTATGCCGTAGTTTATCTCAATTGCATGAGTACCTTTGGATGCTCCCTGAGTCTCACCTTGACATTGACGTTAGGTGGCATGACCCTTTTGAACTGTATTATGTTAGTCCTAAAAATCTCTAAAGAAATCAAGTCGATGCATGCTCATCCTCTACGAGTAAACTTGTTTACTCACCCCGAAGTTACTGGGGGGCTGTTTCAGGTATAAAGACTTGGTGCGTGATGTTCATCATTGCTTGGATGGTAGTTGACTTGAAGGCTTTAATTTTTGTAAAGGTTGGCTTGAAATGTCACTTGTAGCCTTAGTTGTCAAAATGTGTATATTTGATTCCATCTATGTAGTGTGTACATAAGTACACGCTTTACAATGTATTTGACATGTATGAGATGAGGCTGGAGGCCAATGACATGTATTTTGTATCCTATGTGATTTATGACTTCATGAAATATTATTAAATTATTGAAAAATGTTAAGTTATTGTCTCCCTATGTTTGCATCGGGTGTAGGAATTCCATTTTGATTCTTCCGTAGGATCTCATTAGTCATGTATGAAGTGTGGCCAAGGGTCAAACGGTAATTTGAAACCATTTGTTGATTTTGGATTTCAAAATTTTCATTTCAAGTTCATTTTCTCCTTTTTGGCCGTTGGGGGGTCGGATTTTGACTCGGCCATTTTCGGGAGCCATGGACCATTCCCGCACGCTCAAAATCATTTATTACGTGTGCGTGCATATTCGTTTCAGCTTAGAAGTGCATTTGGGGTCAAATGTATGCTGGTGCAAAGTTGCATTTTCGCCGTTTTGAGCCTAAACTGATCTAAGGGCATTTTGGGAATTTCATTTGGGAAATAAATTCCGTTCTCAACTCCGTCACATAGAAAATGTGATTTTAGGAGGAGTTTCCTTTTCGTGTTTTTCCGAAAAATGTCATCTTGACCTCATAAACCGCGCTCTAAGTTCAATTTGCTGCTAGAAACAATGTTCCTACATTTTTTGAGGTTCCAGCCCATGCCACTGCCCCATTTGGTAGGCTCCGTGGCTTATTGCCGTATTTGGTGGGCCCCCGAGGGTATTGTTCCTACTCCAGACACTTTTTTTTCAACGGGCCATATCTCACTCGTTTTAACTCTGAATTGGTCCGTTCTTAAGTCTAAACTGTCCGCGTCGAAATAAGCTTTCCAATGGTACCAATTAGAGCTTCAGATTCCATTTGTAGCTCAAGTTATTCATGTTTTAGTGAAGCAGTTTCAGGTTTGAACCAGGATAGGGTTTTCCTTCCTTCGACTTCGGGACTTGATATTTTTTTCGTCCGGACTCCGAACCAGGTGATTCTTGAGTCTAACTTCATTAATTTTTCGTTGTCTTTCCAATGGTATCAGTTTCAGTTTCAGATTTTTCTCTTAGCTCAAGATATCCTTGTTTTAGTGAGAGGGTGCCAGATTTGGTTTGAACCGGGATAGGGTTCATCTGGGATTTCTCTTCCCTTGGCCTTGGGACTTCATGTGAAGTTACCAAAGGATATTTTAGGATGTTTTAGATCTAATTTGACTTGTTAAAAGCTAAATTCCTTCCTCTTAGGGTAAAATGGTACCCCTGACTCTTCTCTTGTAGGGTTTTGATGCCCTTCTCTTCATTTTGTTCCCGTTGAGTCTCGAAACTCTTTGAGAGTCCATTCTTGTGCTCTAGGGATGACATACATCTCTAAGGATTTGTCTTTGTTTTGCTTCCACACTTTATTCATTTGAATTCCGTGGCTTCATAGGGAGTCATCGTGGTGCCTAGGGATGGTGTACATCTCTTGAGGCCATTTTGCTTCTGCATCTTGGATCCGGTTCGGGTCATCACAGGACACATTGGGTTGAAAAAATCTAGGGTCGTTACAATATTCCATACTTACATGCTAAAAAAAGAAAAAAGAAAAAAAATGATACTTGAAAATAGTAAAATATAGTTTGAACATATAAACATTGTGTTTTAGACAAAAGAAATATTGAAAAACTGTTGAATTTTAACCTTGTAAATTTGAAAGTTACCCTCCAAAACTTCATGTATTTGTAATTATCAATTCCCCGTGGTCCTCCACCTTCTGAAATTTATTGGTGTCGTGAATTTCTCGTGGGAAAGGAATCAAAGGATCCCATCCATTGACAACAAAATAAATTTTTTAACTTGGATATAAATAATAATAATAATTACTAAAACCAAAATTAAAATGTTTCTTTCACGGATATAAGTTTGACATGCCACTAATCCTCTAGAAGACTTTCTTGACAAAAAGACATTAAATTCAAGTGTTGACGGTGCCCCTGTAACAACCTCCATTTATGTGCATATAATTTCATCTTATACGTCAAATTTCAAAATTTAAGACATATTACATTAAAATGGTCCCAAATAGGTTTCATCTTATATGTGTGAAACGACCCTCTTGCATTAAAATGGTCCCAAATAGGTTTCCTAGCTAGATTTGGTGACAAGTCTTATTCAAAATATAATAGATGCCAGTTGTCATTTCACATGCCATCAGAAAATTTCACATGCGGAAGAGTAGTAGGACTCTTCCCCTCCTAGTCAAAAAAATTAATTTGGGAGCCAAACTGGTAATATAGAATTAAATTTTAAAAACAAAAGAACATAATTGTAAAACTTTTATTTATTTGAGTTTTAAATAATATGCAGTCAATTGTGTTGATGGTGAGAAATCATTGAGAAATAGGAATTTATGTTATTAAAAAAAATTCTATTATTATTTCTACTACGGAAATGAGTCAATCATTCATTTTAGTATCTTAATGAACAAAAAAGATTCTACACCCCTTGATTAAAAATTTAAATTTTTGAAAAGTATATATTATGATCATTCAATAAGAAGAGTTTCTATTTTTATTTTTTTTAAATGAACGATTTGAAAATATATTAATTTTAACAATGAGAAGATAATTAATGAATAGAAATTGTTGCGTATGTCAAATGTCAAGTATTTTATTTTTCTTCTTTCTTTAATTCATAACAAATAATATATGTGTATGTGTATATATACGAATAGACTGTATTGTAGTAAGGATTACAATAATAAATAATAAATTTTCTTTTATTCAATTTAATTTTTTAAAGTACTTTGCAAATCACCTTTAAAAATTATAATTATAAAATAACTATAAATAAAAAATTTGAAAAAAATGGAGGGACCTACTTTAACTTTTTTTTAAAAGATATCACTAATAATAACCATAAATTTAGTATGATAAATAGAGTTTTGCAAAAACATTGGAGGACCATAATATTACATGGGTTCTTCACATCTTGTTGATGAGTCAATTATGATACACAAAATGTATGTTTGTTTCATTTTACAAGCCAATGGGTTGAAGTTAAATGCGGACACAAAAGTCAATTAAATAGGCCAACTATACAAATCAATTATTGCATGTCCTGCGTGTTAGGTTGCCATGATACCGTCATTTTATTTTTTTATTTTTATTTTTTTATTATTGTTTTTATAACGGACAATCAAGAGAAAATAATATTAGACCAAGAAAATATTTATGTCATACAAAAAGAGTATTTCTCTCTAGTCTCTACAATTTATAATTTCCTGGGAGCTCAGAGCTTTTGTTATACTATATTGAACTATTTACAACACACACATCTAAATCAACACTTTACACATCGCCTAAAATACATACATGCCTAGGCCATTTCATCTATTTTTATTATTATTATTGGATTAGTTGGTATACCAACAATTGAAACGATGCATATAATATGTGTCGTCCAGTGGAAAGAAGGGGGGCGTAAATCGTTCAACTTATTCACGATAGAAAACTGATGTACTTGATCTTCCAAACAGGATCGAAAGTCTGGTGAGTCCAAGGATAGATAAAAATATACATATATTATCGTATATATAAATTATAATAAAAAAAAATATTCTTCTACAAAAATTCATGGAAACACATTCCTATGAGTGAAGGACAGGGATAGTCATGAGTCCGAACTCCACGCAATGGCTGACAAAGCGCGGTTGAATATACTACGTGACAACCCTACCAAATTAACCACCATGTTTCTCATGCTACCACAACATTTTGGAATTTAAAAACTCAACTCACTTACCGTTAATTATTTTTCTTAAGTCACACGCTCCTCTCTAATTTCAGAACATATATCCAATTCAGAATAAAATTCGGCCACAAGATATCATGGCAGAATACTTCTTTTTTTATTTTTTTTTATGGGTAAGTAAACATGGTAGAATAATTGCAGGTGTTATCATTGAAATTGAAAGGACACAAAAATTCAAAGCATAGACTTGTCCAAAAAAGAAAAAATAAAAGTGGCATATTTAGTCAAACATTATTAAAAGATGAGGTCTCAAAATTCTACTTATATAACAAAATTTCCATCCATAGCAGTTGTAAGACAAGATTTATCACTCCGGCGGCGGCTAACTCTACCACCAATTCCCATTGCAGCAACCATGAGCAAAGACGACGACGATGACGGATTCAAATTTGGCACCGCCATTAAGATCATGCTTGTGGTGATGTGTTCCTTAATTGGCATTATAACAATCATCATCATATTCCATATTTTCTGCAGATATCTCCACAGACGCCGAGAAAGAAGGCGCCGGAATGCTCTCTTCCCGTTAAGTATAACCACGGTTGTCCCGTCCGACGTGAACATGGGTGAATCACCCAAAACCGGGCTTGATCAATCGGTCATAGAGTCCTTACCCAAATTCAGTTATAAAGCAAGTGAGGGGCTTGATCATGTTGAGGCCATAGAGTGCTCGGTGTGTTTAAGCACTATAGTGGAGAAAGCCACAGTTAGGCTTCTACCAAATTGTAAGCATTTATTCCATGCAGATTGTATTGGCATGTGGTTGAGCTCACACACGACATGTCCCAATTGTCGCACCCTGGCTGAGCCTAGGGTCCAGCCCACGGCTCCACCACTACTGCTAGAGGGAAGTGCACCCGAGCTTGGTACTGGTTCAGAATCGGAGAAGGTGGGTGGATCAAGCTCGCGATTAAGCTCGTTTCGGAGGATATTGCTCAGCAGGGAGAGATCATCAAGGAGGGTTCAAAGTTGTGGAGAAGAAGTTTTTGCTGAAGGTCTGGAGAGGTAGTAGTGACTCTTATTTGGTAATTATATATATATGTGTGTGTGCGCGAGCTCATAAATTAATTTCGCTATTAATTAAACAGTATGAGATATTTAATAATGTTTGATTTGTAAAGAATTGTGGGGATTTATAGCATATTGTATTATGGCGTTTCATGTAAAATTTGAAGAGGATGGCATAATATATGCATTGTTTAATAATACATATCTCTCCGCTGAGCAACATATATAGAGTTATACATATCTAAAATCATATTGGATCAAACTGATTTTTTTTTTGAAAGGTAGGATCAAACTGATTTGTAAGATCAAAGTTTGTTTTTTTTTGTTTCTTACGTCATAAAACAATTGTTGGTCTAATTTACAGGGTCAAAAATTAATCTTGGTCTAATTCCATTTATGGTGAATAGGTTTCTCCACCATATCCTTTTTTATTTCAGAAGTGCATGCTATAAACAGGAATGGAGTCAGAAAATTGTGTGAGATGAGGTGATAGTGTAATTTTTTAAATAATTTTAGTAAAGAAGTAGTATAATTTTGTGAATATATATTAAAATTGTAAATTAATAAGGTATATTTAAAATAAAATAAAAAAATCTGTGGGGGCAATGCTTGTGAATGATTCCGTCCCTGACTATAAATATATACAATTATATGTGTGCGTGTATATATTTCATGCAATAGGAAATCAAATTAACCACATCCAAATTATTATATATAATTTGGGAAATTCAAGATTATGTTTGAATAAGGAAATTTCAACACTTATGTGGAATTTATATATGCATAAAATTAAATTAGTTACTGGAGTGACGAAAGACAATAATAATAGAACACTTGTGTGGAAATATTTAAAGATAATTAGTTAAAATAATGGGTAAAAATCTTAAAATTACTCGGTATAAAACTCCCTAAATCTTCGCCACTTTACAATAATTTCCTTTTGTTGGGAAATTTTTTTTTTTTGTTTGGTCCTTTATTTTTTTTTATATTTAGCCATTGTTGTGGTTGTCTCAGCCTAGGCCCATTCACGAAGCAAATGCCCCAAACTTTGATTTGTCGGTACTGTCGGCCATGGGCCATTATTATTAACGAACAAAACAAAAACTTTTTAAATTCTTGGATTTTATTATATAAAGTTGAGTCACAATCAACATTTTTTAAATTCTTGGTTTTGATCAAAATTTGATGTGAACATGAAAAAAATATTATTTATCTTCATGTCAGATTTTGGTCAAAGTCCATAAATTTGAAAAATATTGACTTTGATTTCATCGATAAATAATAAAATCTTTTAGAGTTCATTTTTTTACAAGTTTTCCAAAACAAAAAATGGACTGTATCGTTAACTTCAAATCATCTATATGTAAAATACTGTAGCTCCAAATCATCAATATGTAAAATATCAGGTTTATAAATGAAATAATATCTGTTTATACATAAGAAAATTGCTATACAAGTTTTTCCTAATTTTTACTAATCCAACAATTCAGTGGGTTAATGCCTCATATGGACTTTGAGTATCAAGCTTTGACTATATATCTACTAATCTAACTTCTAACACTTTTTATCTTGAAAAAAAACTAAAAAAAAAAAACTAATCCAATAACATTTCAGCCGTGAGCACCGGGAGTTGTAACTAGCTCGATCTGTGGAATATTACTACTGCTAGTAGGTTCTGGATTAGTTAAAAATCGCGTCTTCAATAGGTAGAGTAGAAGACAAATGGTGGAAGTGCCTGCTGAGATTAAGTATAGACCCAAGAAGCCCTGAATGCTCAAGCTGTAGTTGTCGTTGGTAGTTTGGGAGTTTGAACACTCCGAGGAGGGAGTAAACAAAACTTTCTCTAATTCTTTTAGCCTCCCATTTTCTGATAGTTTAAGAATTGCTTCAGAAACAATAGCAGCTAATCCAGAACCTTTTTGAAACACCTGCACAAAAACCATCAACAATAAAAAAATTAATTACATTCTCTCTCTATAGTTCTTTATTTAGATTTGTAATTTAATTAAAGAATAATTACAAATACATGAAATTTTTGAGGACAATTTTTAAATTCATGGAAACAAAGTCCATGCTTTTTTAAAAATTTTGCACTTTTAAAAAAGTTTTACATGTAAATGCAAAAACATTATTCATTTATCCAAACAACCCTTACCCTGTATGTATCATTCTTGTGCATACTGTATCATTATAGAAACAATCTCATCAATATTATATGTAAAAAAAATAGTACCTGTAAATAATTTGTGTACTTTGAATTAGTAAACGGTGTTTTTTCATATTTAAATCTAACTTTCAAAAAAAAAAAAAAAAAATTCCACGATCTTGAAAATTGACCTCCAAACTCCATGTAATTGTAATTATCCATGGTTGTCACCGTTTAGGTGGTAGTTGCCAAGATTAATAATTCAACTGAGTTGAAGAAGGTGTTCAAACTCTAAAGATATCAATATTTTCAATTCAGAGCTAAAAAATTGCCTGCAATTGTATTTTTAGTCAACTAACTTTGAACTTTGAGATAATATTAGATAATGAAAGGAGTGGAAAGAGTTCCATTCACTACTCACGAAGCCGAATCCTCCAAATCTTCTGGTGAATGATCCATCGCCATACTCGTAGTGCTTGCAGTATTGGTTGACAAAAACTTTGGCATAAGGAAATTCAAGAAACGCTGCTTGAATCGTGCCATTCTCGAACGCACTCAGGTATTCGCTTTCGCTGCTGATGTTGAGGATGTTCCCTGGTTCAAATTCGTACTTTTGCTCCAAGTAGTCCCTAACAAATGTAGGACCATCGCACCCCACCGTTGCATGTGTCCTCTTTAGCAGCTCGATATCTGTCACAGTAGGCCGGAGTCGTGAGACGGTGAGCATTGAAGTGAGGCTGGCAGTGAAGCTTTGTGTTAAGATCAACACCACAAAAAGCCACACCACCACCACGGTTCGAGTATAATTGCTTTTAATCTTCTCCCCTTCACAATAAAAAATATCGTTGCATAGAGAATGAGTATATTTTTAGATGAACAAGGGCTTTTAATTGAGTGAGTAGATAAATATTGTCCTCATTTTAATACGTGTTTACCTTTCACAATTCAAGTATTTACTCTCGATAGACATAGTAAAAAATTATTGGGATTTCATTTCTATACCCATATGCAATAAATAAATTATCAAGTCTATTTTCTTTGAATTCTCTCCAAATCACGTTAGGCAGATGGATAGAAATTATGTTCTTAAATAACACATTTTTAGTACAAATCAGTGCTCATAATCTTGCCTCCAAAACTAAGCATAAATAAAACTTACTGTGAGCAAAGAATAGAGTAGAGAAGGTGAACCAAAGCACATTGCCAAGCGATTCCTTCCATGGGCCACTAAATTCTGGATTGGAACGTTGCTCCAAGGACCAAACTATAAACATTGTGTAGATCAAGATGCACGCTGTCGCAACCCACATTTCCATGGTGAAGGGCTTCAGAAACAACCATGCTTTCGAAGTTTCAGGCTTCACTGGAACTACCATCAGCAAACCTGACTCGATAAATGGTTGTGTAAATTCCACTTTGTTCCAACGCTCGGCTAGTATTGTTATGTCACCAACAGCAGCATCAAAAGTCTTCCATTCAATTTTGATCCACAAGTAAAAAAACTGACATCTTTATCAGTACCATGTAGTTGGAAGGGGAAAAATAAATTGACTTGAGAATATTAAAAAAAAAAAAAATACCAAATAAGGTTAAACTCCCAATCTCTTTCATCTAGATATGCCAAAATCAAATAAGGTTTTCTCATCACCCCAATAAAGTCACATTTTAACGGTCAGGTTAGAACTGATAGAGGTATAATTTGTATGCTTAACTTGAAATTAAATGGCTAACTAAAATTTATAAATGTTTGAAAATGATTAAGAGATTAGGTGATGAGTGATTACCTTGTTCTGAACACTTTCAACCAAATCGTCGTAGCTGCCATCGTACTCGTAAAATTCAATGGGAGAAGGCAGATGAATATTATAACTGTGCTCCAAAATTATTTGCACCTCCTTATAAACATTGATACAAAAACCCGTAAAGTACTTCTCCGACTTCTCATCCGATTCTGCCTTGAGGAACTCCTTAAAAGAGCCTCTACCCGGAACTGCGATTTTCATTGGTGCCATTCCTCCAGGAATTCGCTCTGGATCCCCAGGCCATATCACCTCTGCGAAACCACCCAACTCTTTCACGTTACCAAATTTTCTGGTACCTGCAATGCTATCCGAGAACCCGGACTCTGATGACCAAAAGCCAAGGTTTTTGTATTCCTGATTGGCAATGTTCACTATACTGAATTTTTGGGAGCTTGATAGTCTACCCTCTTGAAAACGCACTTCTCCACTTAAACCAGTGAAGTTGCTTGATAAAATACTATCCCTCAACATATTTGAGGAGCTCATTTTACCATCTGTTTTCATCATTGCCTGTGTCAAGGTCATAATGCTATCGTAAGCTCCTAGCGCATGAATTCCCGGCTCATACTTATCTTCCTCAGGATACGCTGATTGGAATTTTTGGCGAAACTGCTCACTGAAGTATTTGAAAGAATTACTGTTTTCAGAGTAGTAGGGCTTGATTACAAGTGCACCTTCCATAGCAAAGACAACAGGAGGGCTGACAGAATTCAGAAGGCTTGACGTGGTGTCTGCAATTATCCACACCGATTCTTTTTGCATAAATCTCATCTTCTTCGCTTCACTGAACAAAAGATTTGTCAGCTGTAATGATGACTGAAGAAAAATAAACAACCTAGATTTTGTGTTGTTTTCTAACTTAGACAGCTCTTTATTAACAAACTCATGAGGATTAAGTTTAGATAGAGCAGAAAATGGTGGAAGGACCAGATGATAGGCTATATCAGAGCCAACATTTTTAAGGGCCTTGTATAACAGGGTTAACTTCCCGGGATCACCACCGTGGATGTCTTCTTCGTAGATGGCTACAACACTTTGCCGACTGAAGGATTGAACGACATCTGCAATGCAATTCATTTGTTCGGAGCCATCAGTAACCATTTGCACCAAGAAAGGCCATCGAAGTTGCATCAATGGAGGGGTAATAGCAGCGGCTGCAAATGAGAGAACCGGGACTTGAGCTCGGGATCCGATGTCTGCCACTAAAGCGGCTTCCTCCCATGTCTCCATGCCCATAATCACTTCGACTAGCTTCTCCTTAATCAGCTCTTCAGCTGCATCAAACATTCGGAATCCCCAACAAAAACTTTAATCTATATAATATAAACTCTCTTATTTCAATTATATACTAGGTAACTGCTTCTTGAAACAAAAAAATAAATCAAACTGCGAAATAATACTATCTTCGTCCCTTATTAGTTGTCCATTTTTGGTTTTATAACTTTTTAAGAGGACATGCCATTAATGCATTGTCTCTTTTTAAAATTACCAAATTGTCCTTTTTAATTTAAATATATATAGTTACAAAGTTTGAAATTTTTTAAAAAGATAAAGGACAATGATGAAAATATAAAAAAAAGATGTTTTGACTTTTCAAAGAGAACAATTAATTTGGAATATGTAAAAAGAAAAAAATGGACTACTAATGAGGGACGGAGGGAGTAGCAAGTAGACAGTACTTTCATGCTTTCTTGTTGTTAACTGCCTGAGCTTACTTAATTGACTTGTGTAGTATTATTACTCTATTGTTGTAGTATAGCTATCTTAGAATATAATTAGCAACCAATTATATGAACTGGAAAGAGCATGTATTCAATAACGATCACACACACATACATGCGTACTTAAGTATATACCATTAATTTCAAACATATGTACATAACTATATATACATAAATCTACGCATTTAGATATTCATGTATCATGACTTAATTAGAAAAGAGAATTTCAGAAAAGGCGAAAAAACTAGCTACATAACTAACTAACCAGCATGAGCTGATCGGATTGGGTCACCGCCAGAATTTCGGAAATGAAGAGAGAGCTTGTGAAGCTGTGAGTTGTTGTTGAAGTTGTGAAGAGCTATTTTCATGGCTAATTTTTGTTCTTTGCCAATACGAGAATCGAAATCAATGATGGCACCCATATGTAGAGTTACTTTATCAGCTTTAGCAATGGACCCATGAGAGAGAATGAGAATGAAGGAGATGAAGACATGGAATAAGAAAAAGGCGGGTTTAAAAGTAGCAACATTAAAGTTGGAGATGAATACTGCTAGGTAAGTCATTTTTGGTTTTAAAATATGCGGTGACATAATTATCTTATTCATATGGCCGGTTCTAAATAAAACTCATACATAATCTTATACTGATGGAGATTCCTGCGGTGGGAAATTTCGAGGTATTGACGGTCCAAGCGTAGGACTGATTCTACATGGGTTCAGAAGTCGCTCACGTACATGTGGAAATCCCAAATAAAGAACCGGTCCCCCTTACATTTGATTTGGATATAAATTAAATCAAACCCTAAAAAACAGTGTGAGAAATGGATTCAGAATATTCTAAAAAAAGGAAAAACAGTAGATTCCTAGTCTAACAAATCAAAATCAATCCATTATTTATTTACTTTTTTCTTTTTTAGTAAATTCATTTTTTATTTACTTTAAAAAACAATAACAAACGAAAATTATATGAAAACTAAGGAAAAGCCACATTAGGAATCCAGTCAATTATTTCATAAAGTATATATCTGAATTTTTTTTTTTTTTTCTGTCTTTATTTCTTTGCAAAAGTATACATGTGATTCAACATCTAAAAATAATTGTTTGTTGTCTATTAAAAACATAAATAAAATAATAAGGGGTCCGAAGAATTTGAAGCTTTCATTCAAATAATCCTATTCAGAAATATTTTTAATCATATTCTCTATCATATGTAACTCATCTATCAATTTGGATGCATCTGAATTCGAACTTCTGTCAGTTTGCCTCCAAACAAATGTCATTTAGAAAATGTTTCTCATTCATCTTGGAACTCGTATTGGAGTGTAGATTCAGATTCTTTGTATTGAACGCGGTTTGACAAAAGTGACAGGACTATATATATATATATATATGACAAGAGAGAGAGAGAGAGAGAGAGAGAGAGAGAGAGACGTTGATTCAGTGACTAACCTTCGCCTCTTAGCCAAGAAATTATGGCAGGACGAAAAGTCAGCAAAAGAATCCAAAACACATAAGTTGAATTAATTGGTGGGTGTACAATTAATTGGTCGTAGATAACTAATTCTAGAGAACTGGTCAATTGGCGCCATGCAATTTCCATTCAGGTGATGCGACGGAGAATATACCTAATATTTACATCTTGTATAAATATATAATATTCCAATGCTTATGCTTTGTGCTTTGAACATTTCATTCCGACGACTCGAGTGAATTTCAAAGTTCTCTTAACAAGTATTCCAAGAATTCACCAAACCGTTAGACGTCCAAGTCTCCCAAGTATTTAATTTGGGACAATTGAATCTCACTTATTCAACCTAGTTTTTCTTGGGGTAAAAAAAAAAAATTCCTCAACTTTAGCAATTTTGTTTTATTTACCAAAAAATTAAAAAAAAATTAGCAATTTTGTAATAAATTCTCTGGAATTTTTATTTTTGCACAAAACTCTCTAAAACTATTCCAAAAATATGCATATAGTCCCTTGTCATTTGCCAATTACAATTGTTACTGAAAATTGAACTTTTAAACCTGAAATTTCTTTAATATCCTTCTTTTATTGATCAAAATGACCTTTGATAATTTTTAGTTTCATAAATTGATCTAATGTAAATGGATTATCCTAATAATTTGTCACTAAGGGTTCTTTTGTCATTTTACAACCAAAGTAAAATAATGGGAATAGATCCTGATAATTCCATAAAACTCATGATTTGTCTTTTTTAGATAACGTCTATGGTACCCATAATATGTGTAAGTATCGACGTAATTTTGGTCATCCATGAAGCAAATACAACAATCAAACTTCGTCTTTGCTAGTTTGGTATTGTGTCAGCCAATAATTAAGAAGATAAAATGGACTCAATGGTTAGCTCCAAATCTTCAATACGTAAGAGTATCTCCAATGCTAAAACTTATTTTCTCATGCCAAATTTATATTTTGACAGGTGCTAGAGTGCCAAAATACTACATTTTAGTAATTCTGCTCCAATGGTACATTTCACGCAAAATGCTATTTTTTAACACAACCACTATTCTTTTTCAACTACCATTCCCATCATTCATATTTGCATCACTAATATTAATATTAGGCACATTCCAAGTCAAATTGTAGACATTAGAAAGAAACTAAAATTAAATCTAATTAAAAAGAAATACAAATCTAAAATATCTGGTCAAAAAATGACCAAAAAAAAACAAATTTTTTATAATTTTTTTACCATTACTTGTGAATTAATTTTTTTATATAATTTTTTTTTTCAAAAATTTATATATATTATATATAATATATATGTATATTATATATATATATATATATATATTGTATTATATATATAATGTACTGTAATGTTAATGAATAAATATATATATATATTATTAGTTAGTGGGACCCACCTGATATGTTAATGATATAGGGTCATTCCAACTCCATTTTTTCTCATCTCTCTCTCACGCTGCTTCACTCTCTGTCTCTATTTTTTTTTTCTTTTTTTTTTTTCCCACAAACTTTACTCCTTAATTTCTCCCTCACCAAGTGGTATTTTTGAGTGCCGTTTGCGGCTATTTGAAGCCTACGACGAGATCAATAAGTTGATAGGAGCAATTCCTTGGTTGGTGCACTATAGGAGATTCGAAAATCCTAGGATTTGAGGTGAAAATTGGGGATTTTGCATATAATTGAGGTAGGGGTTCTAATTCACATGTTCTTAGGCCTTTTTGTGAATTACTCTACTTAATTGATGATTAGCATGCTTAATTTGTAGAAAATTTCTTACTTTATTTTATATATATATATATATATATATATATATATATTATGTCAAAGTTGTGATTATGTGTTGCTTGATATATATTATAATAAAGCATGTAAATTGTTGATTAATTCAAGATTTTTGTGCCTTTAGTACTAGTTTGGTGATTAGAAAGCATGAAATATAAGTTTAGAAATTTTTATGTTGTAAAACATGTCTAAGTATTAAATTTTCATGCCTATTATAATTAATTTGCTAGAAATTGTTATATGGAAGTGTGTTGATTTGTGACATAGGAAAATCTTATGTTGATTTGTGAATTGTAAAAATCCTTCATTTGACATGGCATTGGGAAGCATGAGACATTCATGCATATCATTAGGAAAGAATGGGAAAAATTGATTTGAAAGAAATGATATGGATTTTTGGGAAAGAATTTAAAAAATGATTTTGCGAAAAAAAAAACCCGGCCGCCTAGAAGTTGCCTAAGGACCGCGGCGTTAGTGAGGCCTAGAGGGGACTAGGGAGACCGCCCTAGTGTGGTTGAGTTATCTGGGCCCCAAATGACGCCATGGAGTTGCCATGGGTCAGGGACAGTGGCCAATCATTCTCTCGTGCCGCCATGGAGTTGCCATGGGACGGGTTCACTAACGGTCTAGAAATGATAATTGAAATGGTTTTGGGAAAATGGGGAGTGACATTGCATAGCACGGCATCTTAGTGCATGGCATATTTATTTGTGGTATTGGATTAATGATGTGGTATCGTAGTTATACTTTTACTCCCGGCACAGTATGATCCCAATTTCCTTATTCCTATTCATTGTGTGGATTCACGGGGTCTCAAGAGGTGTGCCTTAGGCACTACCTACTAAGCAACTTTGTTCACCCCTATTATTTAACATTTTTCAGGGTTCGGAAAAGAAATGGCGGATGACAATCCCCCGCAAGCTTCAAGAAGATTAGGAGTTGTATTTTGTTATCTTTTGTATCTTAGCCCATTTTTTTGTATTGTCTCAAATTATGTAAAAGAGTATTTATTTTTGCAAATAATGGCCCTGTAACATAACTAAGATACTTGATTATTTTTGTTGTAAACTGAGACCATGTAAATGCTTAAGTTGAAGGGGATGACGATGATGGGCTAATTTGGGAAGGTTGTTGATGTTGTGGTATTGGAGAATGCATTATATTTCTTTTGTATTGTGTGTTAGGGCAGGTTGGATAGGTTTTGAAAGGCCGTTGTTTTTTTTTTCTTTTTTCATTTAAACAGGTTATTGTAGGACCATTTTTAGTAGAGGTCATGCTGAAATTTTTTTTTAATTTTTATTTTTTTTCGGTATTCAGTTTAGGGTCGTTACATATACATATAGAGATGCGAGTGGGTGATGACTGGTGAAAAACGGCACCATTTTGGGAAATGAGAGACTTGCCAAAAAAATTTGGCAACTGCCATATATGAAAAGAAATTTGAGAATCTCAAATTTTAAGAGCTCAAATAAGAGCCAATTGGAGAGGCCTTTTTTTACCCAACTCTCATATTTCGAGTTTGAGAGGCCCAAATGAGAGAGCATTGGAGTTGCTCTAAGGGATGCGTCTGGATCCGTATAGAAAACTGTTTTCCTATTTATAGAAATATAATTAATAAATCTTATTGGTCGGGTTAATATATATATACACACACACATATACATATACATATACATATATGTTTTTTTTAGAGGAAAAATCACATAACCCCTTGTATTAACGTTTTTGTCTAAAATGCCCCCACTAAAATTAACACCCCCTAAAGTATAAAACGTTATCACATTGTCACCAAATCGCTATAATATGACAAAACTGCCCTTATAATTTAATGGTTAAATTTAAAACCTACAATATTATTGAAAAATTACAAAATTACCCCTGTCTTCTTCCTTCAACACCTAGGTTCGATGATTCAACAAAAGTCCAATGCTTCGTGCCTGATCAACGGTGCCACCGGAAAAGTCTTCACCTACGCCGACGTGGAGCTCATCGCGCTAAAATGTGTATGTGTGTAAATATATAATTTCACATAGATACATATGTTAAAAATGTCATAATAGTCGAGGTTACAGACTCACAGAGTAGTTGAAACTGCAGAGCAAATTAATCAAGAATATATATTGTGCCAATGAGTGCTTCTCAGAATATGCAAGACCAGTGATGAATATATGTATGGATGTACTACATACTCACATATACACATAAATAGAAATTTTGATTGTTGAGTGTAACGACCCAGCTCCTCATGGATCCGAATCATTAAACGGGTCCTTGCTCGTCTCATAAACCT